ATTAATTAACATAGTATAATTCAGTTAAAAATATTTTATAATATTGAATGAAAAGAATGTGAATGTGAATAATTTAATTTGTACAAACATACGCATGCATACCATTTATTTGAGCCAAAAACCAGACCTTATCATCCCATTAGTGCAAAAATTGGACTATGCTTTATGATCTTTAATTAAAAAAAAAATACAAATGTTAGTCCCTGTACCTTTAATGTGTTTTAATATTAGTCTCCCTCTCTCTCTCTCTCTCTATATATATATATTTTCGTTATTCCAAGCCCATTAAGTTTCAACTGTTTACAATGCTAGTCTTTTTTGTCAGTGACAAAGTATCTCGCATGGTGTTGGTAGTACACTAGATTTAAAATATCTCCTAAGGTAAACTCGTGTACGCTCATATGATCATGTCAATACAAATTCATATTTAAATGGATACTTCTCAGTATACCACATGACTGAATTTCAAAGATCATTTCATAAATCATTCTCAACATATTAAATAAAGGGTTAAGGGTCATTTTTATCCTTCAACTTTACTAAAAAGTAACTGGGAACCTTACACTTAAGTAGGGGTAAACTGTCTCTCAACTTTAAATATTTTTTCCCTTATCACCTTTCCGTTTTCTCACCTTTAGTTGACCATTAATAGACTTTATATTACATTTTTTAATATTTTTTATTATAAAATATTTGAGTTAATAGTATCCACTGATCCTTCAAATAAAAGTTAAAGGGCGAAAATGACTCTTAATCCAATAAAAAATATTAAAAAGAAAATAGTAGGACCAATGAATGACTAATGGATGTTAAGTGTTTTTGACATCAGAGTAATGAAGAAAGAAATCTTTAATAGTAAGGGGCAAAATTGATCAATAATTGAGTTTAGAATTTCAAATGACCTTTCAAGTCTAATTGAGGGTAAAAATAATCCTTAACTCTTAAATAAATTATTAACACCCCAACTTTACATATTTTCCAGGACAAAACATGTTATTTCTATAAGAAAATAACATTTATAGTTCACTAATCTCACAAACTAAATAATCAAACCAAGCATAATAGAGAATTTAGGTTTTTAGTTATCTTAATCCTTTGGATTTACCAAATACCTGTGAGAAATTCAAACCTTTTGAGCCTCCTTCTTGCCCCAAAATTAGTAATTTACTACAAATGTTACACCAAAATTTCCAAAATATTTGTCACAATTAAATCCATCTTTACTATCCACTAGCTAACTAAACTCCCATTAATCTAGATATCCCCCATTAAATGACCATGCATTGCCCTCAAATCATCAATTAATAACTAGAGTTTGTTTAGAAATCACCATTACATTACAACCCTTAATTATCATATCATCCATACCCATAGTTTAGGAACTTAAATGAACTCTCAATAATCAATTTAAGGTTAGATTAATCGGTTTTATACTCCCCCATTTCGAAATCCTTCTTCAAACACCAAAAACTCAACCAAAAAATTAGCTAGAGGAGTTGAGAATCCAGATAGAAGACTTAGCCAAATGATTTCAGGCTTCCAATATCTCCTGATAGACAGAAATATCATATCCTAGTAAAGCCACAACAAGTTCTCACTTCCCACTCTTTCATTCTTTCTTTCCGAGTTGTCTTGCAGAAGTTGTTTAAGTATGAAATCAACCATCCATCCTAGCGGAAGGTGTCATGTGCCCCAACATATGACGTAGTAGGCTGAATCTTAGCTTTGTCCTCTCCATTTTAGCTCAAGTGGCCTAAAACTCTCCTTAGCCTACCAATGGATACAATATGCCCATATGTCATCCCTTAATCATTTTAATTTCTACCTTAGTCAACTATTAATTTATCATTTTACCCCTATTTATGTTGGTTAAACATAATAAGTTAAATTTTTTGGGATGTGAAAAACCTAGTTCCATTAATTTTTATGGAAGCCATTGATATGTGGTATTTTACATAGATTTATATATAATTTTTGCTCTTATATTGACTAATTAATGTATGAATTAACAACAAAATTAGATAAACTACCTGACTTGGAAAATTTGATATATTTTTAGGAAAAGGAGATGATAAAATAGTATGAAAAAGGGCTTAAAACACAATGCCTAGAGTCAACGACCATGGAATTAGGCCAAAAAGCCACATCCACTCGCGGATAATACTAGTGCAAAATCTTATTTTCACTACATAAGGCTTCAGTTGTGAACATTTCATGTTGTGCACATTTCATTTGCTCGTAGACAACTTCCTTTGATCGTGGGTGGACGTAACTTGGCAAAAATTAATATTTAACATATTTTAAATCAAATATTAATATATCAGGTAAGATAAAACAAGATCTGGATGGATTCTAGGTTTAAGGAGGATGGATTTATCATAAATAAACCTCCCAAAAGCCTCTCAACAAGTCCAATCTTATATCTAAAGGCTAGAAGGCATATTATGGAGTTCGAAGGAGTTCTTCCACACTGGGAGCTTTCTCTCTTTTCATTTTCTTTAGATATTATGTCTTTTATCTGGAATTGTAGTTTTAACTTTATGAGCTTTTATTAAACTTCTAATCAAGATAAGGAGTGGCCTAGTAGTTAGGATGAATTCTATTTTTTTATTTGGTTTTGATTATTTTCCTGTTGAACATTGGATTTTGTTTATAAAATTTAGATGTTTGCTTTTATATTTATCTCTCTTAATTTAATTGTTTTTTTTTATATAGATGACGGCTATATAATGTGGGTTTTGATGAATTGGAAGATGAAAAACTTGCCTAAACTTAAAGAGATAAATATTGATAACTAAATTAGGAATGATTTAGGAATTGGTGGTGCCTCTCTTATTTAAAAAACTTCATAGTTTGTAATGTCTTTGAAGTTCTATAAATCTTCTAAGTTTTTGTTCCTCTTCTTGAGTCTCAAATCTTGTGAATTAAATCTTCAAAGTTTCTGTTCTCAAATCTTTTCAAGATCTTCAAATCTTCAAAGAATTTCCCTTATGCTCTCTTGCTTACATTTTGAACATTAAAATTAACCTTCGAACTTTTCAGATTCTGCTGGATCTTAACTTCATGTCTCTGAAGTTTCTTCAAAGATCATGCACGATGTTCGTGGCATGAATTTCCATTCTTTGAAGTATTTTATTCTAAGCTTCATTGTCTTTCATCTATATACTCTAATTTTTGATGTTTCATAAAAACTTCAAAGTTTCTCTACTTGTCCAAATTCGAGGTTTATTTAAGCATATAATTAACTTTTTAATTTAATATGAAATTACTCGTTGTCCTGTCTGAACTCATTTATCTTCATATTAACATGTCCTAATCAATGGATTAAGTCTTAAACAAGTTTTTATTTCTTTAATCCATATTTGTCTAAAACTTCAAATTTTTGAAGTTCATCAAATCTTTAAAGTTTTTAGCTTTAATGGTAATAATGGTAGGCATTACGTGTTGTTACTTTAAGTCCAAAACACCTTACCCAGTCGGAAAAACTTATTTCCTTCATATTTTTTGGAAAACTTAGCATCGTCAATGAAGAAAAGCATTGGGTAAAGCGTCCAACATTCGGATTAACGAGAAACAACTCTCAACAGACACATTTATGAGTCTAACATATATATGGCACAAAACTCAATAAAAGGACTGATTTATGAAGACTAAGGTAGAGAAGTTATTATGCTCACTGATTCATTAATATTTGCAACTACTCTTTTGCACTAGTATTCAATTTGTTGAGAGATTCATTGTTTATATATACTCTATAGAGATCAATTACTTGAGATTTTGATCACTTTGTGATCTACCCTATTTTCACATATTTAGAACAAATTAAGAATTTTGAATTCGAGGAACTCAAGCAGGTGATACATTACTTTTGAAAGAAGGAGTGTTTCAGACATGCATATTTTGGGTTATATTAAGTCATCCAAGAGCTCAGATCAATCTTAAAGTTTATAATAAAAAATTCCAAGGGATAAGCTTGAAAATTGGACGTAGGTAAGTAGTTGGTCTAACCAAGATAAATTTCTATTGTGATTTTCTCCTCTCTTCACTTTAGCACTTACAGTGATACTATTCCTTCTCTATCTCTTTAATTAAGTGTTTATTTGGCAAAAATTTTATTGGTCCAATTCACCCTCCTTTTAGGCATTTTTACAATTTTCTTTATTTAAATTAGTTATTAAATATTTTTCAAAACGCTTATTAGTTTTTTTAATTTATAAATAATAAAAATCACTATTTTCTTGTGGGTTCAACTCCTAAAATACTCTGAAATTTATAACTACATCGATCCCATGCACTTGAGGGAGCGATGAGTCACCTCCACAAGGAAGCCTATAATATGCTACCAAACATATAAAAGTCTTAGTTCCACATCCACTTCTCTCTCCCTCCAATTCCATCATACCATGCAGCCATATTCTTAAATACTCTTATTGCGAGTTTGGATTAATAATGATGATTTGGATTTGGACCAAATTCCTTATTTGGATACACAAAACTTAAATTATCCAGACAAATAATTTTAAATGCATTGATTTTAAATGTGAAAGTTCAGATATAAAATTCAAATCCAAATCTATAAAATCCAAATGCTACCTTATTGTTTTAGGAATTTTGAACTCACCACGGCTTTAGTTTCAAGTTCTACTTACTTTCTTTTGTCTCTCCCATATCCCAACCATTACTTGTTTTCTCAAATGATCAAGCAAGGTGTCACGCCCCAAAATTTGGAGAGCAACCAGCACGGGATGTGAACCATTTCACACATCCCTGTAAGCTTTAAATCGTAAATTCACTCTGTTTCTAAAATTAAATTAGATTTATATTGAAATTATAACACTTTTGACACTATTAATTATAACAAAGCTTTAACATGTTCATAAAAATTTCAACAAAATCCCTCCTGTAAATAGAATTTCTCAAAATTTTTACAAAACATTGATGCGGTCAAAATATCAAATAAATCAGGAGCTTAGCTCTTTCCAGCTGACAAACAGCATATATAGAAACAAAAGTCCAAAATATCAAATAAATCAGGAGCTTAGCTCTTTCCAACCGACAGACAGCATATATATAAAAACAAAAGTCCTAGTTATAGCTTATGTGGAGCACCTAATCGTACTTTTCAAAAATAAAATAAAAATAAGATATAGAAACATTTATAATTACATCAAAAGAAAAATTTCAATCAACCCTCCACCTGTTTATAAGTGCTCAAGGATCGGCAAGAAGATCAACGTCAGCTAAGGTATCTGAGACTAAAATAATTTTCAGTGAATAACGTTCCAACAATAAACAATAGCATATAAATAAAATAAAAGTTTGACATAGTTATGTAAGTTAAATAGACAAAATTTTTATAAAAATTTAATAAATTTCATAATAAAATGGCTCTATAAATTTTAAATAAAATCTCAAATCATTGAACTATCATAGAAAATAATAATATCACTTGATTCCAAGAAAGCACATAAATGAAAAAAAATATTATAAACAAATTACTAAATAAAAACTAATAGAATATGAAATCATCAAATGATTTGATTCATAATTATAGAGACTTATCAGAACAATTAACAAATATGGACACACAGTCCACGAAAGTAAATAACCCAAACGTAGCTTATGCCACAAAAACAAACATAGACACACAGTCCATGAGGATAAATAACCAAAACGCGGCCGAAGCCATGAAACAAACGTGGACATATAGTCCACGAGGGTAATGCTAACCAAACGTGGCTTGAAGCTATGAAACAAATGTGAGTACGATGCTCATGAATAATCATCCCTTCATTCCATGTGCGTTAGCCATCACACGGGGCTAGCGTCTCCTATAAATACCCTACTAGCTAGGTGTACTATGGCGCGCTAAGGGCTAATTGAACTGCCTTTAGCAATCAATGTTCTGTATAAAGTTTCTTTTTAAAACCATTTTCAAACATGCGAGAAAATTATCACTTTCAAGATACAATTCTCATTCTCAAAATCAAACTCGCATGAATACTTTTAAGCATTAAAACTTGTCAGAATAAAATTTCATATCTAATGCTCATGCTTGCATTTGTTGAATAATCAAAAATTGTCAATACTAATGAAAAGGAATTTTATTAATCTTGAAAGGATATCTCACAAGGGTTAAAACATTCATATGCTATGAAGAATCATTTTTCACCACCATATTAAAACTTAAAAATGAAAAAATTTAATTAACAAAGTATCCACTAGTAAACATAATTATTATTAAAATAATCAATGTAATAAAATAAATTTTAATAGGAAAACTTAATTAATAAATTAATTGGGACGCAATCCAAACACTGAAATTTGCCCATTTAGCATTTCCCACAAGGTTTATTCTTGAAACACCCAATATAATAATAATTGAATCTTAAAAATTTTTCAAAACGCATAATTGCCCATTTACTTAACTATTATAGTATATTCTAGCATTGCTCTTAGACACCCATCTTTTAATTTTCATTATAGAGAAATTCATATCCTTCGCATTCTTTTCTAGCATACAAGTCATAAAAATCCACTGACACATTTTAACCAAACAATACCATTTTGTTACATTTAAACTCTTCCTACAACTTTGAAAAAAAAAAAACTCTTCCTATAACATTTCATCAACATTTTATATGCATTCAAAAATCAAATCATACACAAGTACCAAAATGTATAAATCACCAACCATACAACCCTCAAACATCAACAAATTCTTTATAAAGTTTCTTAGATTTAATTTGATATAAAGATTCGACGTCCTATAAGAGAAAAACTTGATTCTGGATTTAAAAATTTTTAGTCCTTAATACTACCAAAATTCATCTAATTGATTCAAAGGTTACCCCAAACATCATCATTTATATCACAATTTCTTCATGAAACTATAGCCATAGTTCATTATTTCATTGAAACATGATTCTCTCTCAAGCCTTATATCAAATACCTTGTGTGTACAACTTTTAAGTCATTCAGTAAAACTTGTTCAGCCTCAATGTCTTACCCAATGATTTCTATGCATACATCATTAAATTCATCTGCTTTTCCAATCTAATTCTCCACCAAAAAATCAATTTCAGCTCAAAAATTCAATCCGAAACAACATTTTCACAGCCAAAGAAGCAAGTAATGAAAACCACTATATATCTATATACCACACAAGATCATCAAAGATGAAGATGGGAGGATAAGCTCCCTCAAACCGGCCACAGCCAACAAGAACGATGGAGGGGGAGGAGTTCGAAGCTGAACAGGGGATTTTTTTTTAATCTCAACCACTTAAAAGCATACACACAAAAATCAAAGAGGAAGAGAAAGATTCGAAGCTCTTCTCATTCACACAGCAAATAGAACAGAGAAAGAGAATAAATTTCACACTCACACGCAAAGAGCCGGCACAGAGGAGAAGGACTGGAAAACTCATACCTGAAATCTTAGTAACACTAGAATCAAGGAGCACGGAATACAAATCATGCGGGCACAAAGGAGGGAGAAGAAGAACGTCCAACACACTCCCACACCGTGACAGGAACAGAGGAGAAGGAAGAAGCTCAGATGACACGAAGCAAAACTGGGGAAGGATGGCTTCGATAGTGATGCCACACAGAAATAGATAAAGAATTCATGACCTCCTCGGAACTCCTTGTAGTGGCGAATGAACGGCGACTCCAACAGTGACAGCGATGGATAGAAGGACGAGCTGGACGACTAGCAAGGTTGAGTGATCTGATACGAAGCAGAGGAGAGAAAGCATTCACAAATTAAACCTTTATAACAATGGAAGAAACTCCAGCAGCACCCACACCGGTGATAGTAACAGGGACGACGCCGGAAAATCGAAGGGAGAGAAGGTCGGATCTCTCTAGCTCTCGATCCTTTGAAATTTTAGAAGGGGAAGAGGAAATAACAAGGCAGCATGCGTGCTGCAAATGTTCTGATCTCTCTTCCTCTTAGTTTTATTTTTTTTTCCAGGGTAAGAGGGTAATTTCAAAAGGCTGTGGTTAAAATAATAAAATTCCTACCCTATCAAGATTCGAATCCGGGACATAGAGGCATACATATAAAAGAATTTCCATTAGGCCACTAGCATCTTTTGTGTAATCTATTTCAAAACTAATAAAAATATACAAAATTATATTCTTATAGATTTTAATCTAATTTAAATTTTATTTATTATTTTTTTTGAGTTATTACACAAGGCACTCGTTTTCTTCTATTTATACTGTCTGATGTTTGGTTCTTTTCTAGAATTGCTACATTCCCCACTTTTTAAAGCAAATCTTGTGCGCTGAGTGAATCTTCACATAAATCTTCAATTCAAGAATTTTTGTAGATTTATTGTTTCTTTTAAATTCTAGATTTTTGTTTCCATTGTTCTCTATTTCTTCTTGTGTGGTAAAAATAATTACTTTTTCTTTTATATCTCCTTACTTCTTTACTTGTCTCTCTTTTCATAATTCACCATTCTTATTTCAACTTCATATTTCTTTTACTCTACTATCTATCTTTATTCCGTCACTTTTCTCCTCAAATAAGCAACAACCTTCTTTCTTATTTTATTTTGTATATAACCATTGCACCAATTTTTAGTAGCAAAAGAGTTTTTTGTTATTTCTCAAATATATTAAATAGATGTTGTTCTCATTCTAGCATTCTCTTAAAATGACAAATAAAATTTAGTTAGACATAAAGCTAATATTAATTTTTTCTAACTCCCTCCCCCTTACTTCAAGGCATTTTTTTTTATGACACCTAAGAGTGGACACGATAGCATTCAATAAAAACAATCAAACTATTATTGATGTTGCCCATGATACTGTGCCTTCAACTTCACAAAACGAGGTAACAACTAACTAGAAGTGACATGTAGCAACTTACTCCCTCCGTCCTCATGTATAAAATGTTTTTAACCGAATCATGTAAACTAATAAAAGTTAGTTATCTAATTAAAAGCACCACAATATTTAATTTGCCCTTAATTATTGTAAATAAAAAATGAGTCTCTTTTTTCAAAGTAAATTAATGAAAGTATTCATCCTTTTTTCTTTTCAATTTAATAAGGGTATAATAGTCCATTTATTAAAAAATATGCTAATAACCCCTTACATTTAGGAACCAAAAAAAGGTTTTAGAATACTTTTTATATATAGGGATGGATGGAGTAGTAAATATCAATAAACACATTTACAAAAAAAAAAAAGAATCAAAAAACACAATATAATATATGTGAATGCATTGATTTTACAATGAACATAGCTCTTTATTAAATAATTACTAGGGGATTCATTTTACCTATTACATGTTGTAGGATTTTTCCTTGCAAAAACTTCAATAGTAGAAAAATGGAGTAAGGTTTGGTGGGCGAGTCATAAATAAGGATGCTAAAAAGAAGAATCAACACAAGATGTGATTCAACAGTGGATGAGAACGTGGAACATAAGCAATCTTGGGTTCTTCCCAAAGTTCTTGTTGTCTCTCTTCTTATTGCACTGTCTTTTTTCTTTTTTTTTTCTTTACTTTTCTCTTTTATTTGTTTTACATGGAATACAGGAGGCACAGGCTTGTTGAACTTAGACTTGAAGATTTGCCATTTTATCCTGAAGATTTTGTCCTTAGTGGGGAAGGCATACAATTGTTGGATAGAAGGTCCCAAAAATATTTTAAAGAATATTCATCTTGTTTTCATGTCTTTGCATTTTCTCTTATAATTTCCACTTCATATATACTCCAGCATGTGTATGTCATCATTGACTAGAAAATTTCAACACTTCATTCTCTGTTAGGGTACTTCCTCACAAAAATATATTATTTCAACTTGTTTGGTTTATAATATTTCTGATCTCTGTTGGCTAGTAGTAGTTGTTGAATTTTCTGAAATTAATTTTAAACTTTCTTATCTTTCAACTAATTTACTCATTAGGTTTACCTAAAATGAATATCAGATTGTGTTTATGATAACTTATATTTTGAATCGCCATGATAATGAATGACACAGTTGCCTAGCTTTTAAGCTTGAATGCTGCTCTCTTTCACTGCCTCGGGTAGTAAATATATGCAAGTGTTTTTAAGGAAAATTATTGGTGATTATAGTTTTGACACACTTTAAGCTCAGTTTTTAAACATTAACTCGATTGATACAACTCAATTCCTATAGTTTTAATTTAGACTCTAAATTTTGATTCTTATAACTCAGACTCTATAATTTTAATTATTTAAAATGTTGGTCCTCACATTTTATAAACTAAAATTGTAAAGAATAAAGTTATTATTAAATATTAGAGACTAATATTTTAAATCGCTAGAACTATATACTTGGTCGTGCAATGAGTTAAAGTTCATATAATGAGTTACAATTGAATCAAAATATAGATATTAAGATATAGTGAGTCAAAAGTATATAAGGACTAAATAATTAATTTTTTTGTATTTTAAAATTTCTTTTATTCTTGGGTTAAATATCATTTGCCCTTGAATTATACTCTCAAGAGTACCTAGTGTCTTATACTCACTTTTGGTATAATCTTCTTCTTAAATTAAAAATACTAGACCAATATTATCCTTGTTGTTAAATGGGAGCTATTTGCCGCCAAGCATTATTGCAAGCGCATGGGTTATCACAAGTAGTAAAGTTTTAAAATCTATCATTTTCATGATGACTAGTACAAAAGAGGGTTAAAATTTATCATTAAACTTTGGATTAAATTGAGCAAAATAAAAAATGAAGTTTGTGTATCATTCTTTCATGATAAAGTATCAATATTTTTCTTTTAAAAAAGTTAAATCTCATTATCTACTGTAAAATCAATCGACAAAAAGGGGAGGGGCAGGCCAATAATTAATTGGTTATTGAATGTATAAGTTATATAATATTGTCAACCCCTATCTCCAAATTCCCTTACAAACCGGCCCATTGATTTTCCTTGTATAAATTTTAAATATTTTATTTTTTAAAAAAGGTAAAAGAGTAAATTGATTCATAAATTATAAGTAAAAGAGTATCTAAGACTTTAAACTTATTTTTGGTGCAATGTTCTCTTTAACTTTAAAAATGGTGCAATCTAATAACTATTGTTAACATAAATTAACTTTGACTAATAAAAAATATTTTTCTTTTCTATAATTTTTGGATTCTTTTAGTGTGATTTTATCCTTTTCTATAATTTTGAAATATTTTTTTATCATTTTTTAGTTAACTAATAATCAAAATTAATTTTTATTAATGATAGGGTTAGATTGTATCAATTTTAAAAGTTAACGAGAAACATTGCATCAAAAATAAGTTTAGGATCTCAGACATTTCAGGCACCAATTTGTTCTTTTACCCTTAAAAAGTAATGTGTTTTAAAATTAAGGTAAAAAGCAAATTGGACCCTAAACTATAAGGCTAAAATATTTGGGACTCTAAATTCATTTTTTGTACAATGTTTTTCTTTAACTTTTAAAAATGGTGCAATCTAACATCTGCTGTTAACAAAAGTTAAATTTAACCATTAGTTAATCAGAAAATAATAAAAAAAGACCTCAATAATTACAAAAAAGGATCAAGAAAATTTCTTTCGCCGTTTATAGTTTATAACCAAAGCAAATTTTTTCTATGGTTGTTGCATTTTATCTATTGATATATGTACTGTTTTCTTCTTTGGGTTCCTATTATTTCTCAAATCATTCACTGCTCTGATTTCAGACATGCATATTTTGCATTGTATTAGGTCATCCAAGAGCTCAAATCAATCTTAGAGTTTATAATAAAAAATTTCAAGGGGTAAGCTTGGGAATTGGATGTAGGCAAGTGGTTGGCCTAACTAAGATAAATCTCTATCGTGATTTTTTTTCTCTTCACTTTAGCATTTACGGTGATATTATTCCTTCTCTATCTCTTTAATTAAGTTTTTATTTGGCAAAAATTTTATTAGGCCAATTCACCCTCATTTTAGCACTTTTACAATTTGCGTTATTTAAATTAGTTATTAAATATTTTTCAAAACTCTTATTAATTTGTTTTTATAAATAATAGAAATCATTTCTTCTTGTAAGTTTGACTCCTAGAATACCTGAAATTTATAACTACTTTGATTCCATACACTTGTGAGGACGATGAGTCACCTCCACAAGGAAGCCTATACTATGCTACCAAACATATAATAGTTTAGTTCCACATCCACTTCTCTCTCCCTCCAAATCCACCATCCCATACAGCCATATTCTTAAACTCTTATTGTGAGTTTGGATTAATAATGATGATTTGGATTTGGGCCAAATTAAATCCCTTATTTGGAAACACAAAAAACTTAAATTGCCCAAACAAATAATTGTCAATGCATAGATTTTAAATGTGAAAGTTCAAATATAAAATTCAAATCCAAATCTATAAAATCCAAACACTACCTTATTGTTTTAGGAATTTTGAACACACCACAGCTTTAGTTTCAAGTTCTACTTACTCTCTTTTGTCTCTCCCCTATCTCAACCGTTACTTGTCTTCTCAAATGATCAAGCAGTGGACTTGTTTCTTTCTATTTACACTGTTTGATGTTTGATTCTTTTGTAGAATTGCTAACATCCCCCCCTTTTAAAGCAAATCTTGCGCACTAAGTGAACCTTCACACAGGTCTTCAATTCAAGAATCTGTCTAGATTTGTTGTTTCTTTTACGTTATAGATTTTTGTTTCCATTGTTTCCTATTTCTTCTTGTGTGGGAAAGTTAATAATTACTTTTTCTATTTATCTTTCTTTACTTCTTTAACCTCTTATATTGTCTCTCTTTTCATATCGTTCTCATTTCAACTTCATCTTTCTTTCACTTTACTATCTATCTTTATCCCGTTACTTTTCTCCTCAAATAAGCAACAAATCTTCTTTCTTATTTTCTTTTGTATTGTTTATAATCATCGCATCAATTTTTAATAGCAAAGAGTTTTCGTTATTTCTTAAATATATTAAAAAGTTATTATTCTCATGCCAGCATTCTCTTAAAATGAAAAATGAAATTTAGTCAGACATAAAGCTAAAAATAATTTTTTTCTAACTCCCTCCCCCTTACTTCATGGCATTTTTTTATGACACCCAAGAGTAGACACGGTAGCATTCAATAAAAACAATCAAACTGTCCTTGATGTTGCCTATGATACTGTACCTTCAACTTCACAACACGAGGTAACAACTAACTAGAAGTGACATGTAGCTACTTACTAAATATCAATAGACACATTTACCAACATAAAAATATTCAATAAACACAATATAATATATATGAATTCATTGATTATACAATGTATGCAGCTCATTATTAAATAATTACTAGGTGATTCATTTTACCTATTACATGTTGTAGGATTTTTCCTTGCAAAAACTTCAATAGCACAAAAATGGAGCAAGGTTTGGCGGGCGAGTCATAAATAAGGATGCTAAAAAGAAGAATCAACACAAGATGTGATTCAGCCGTGGATGAGAACAAGAAATAGGCACATAAGCAACCTTGGGTCCTTCCAAAGTTCTTGTTGTTGTCTCTCTTTTTATTGCATTGTCTTTTTCTTTATCTTTATCTTTATCTTTAGTTTTCTCTTTTATTTGTTTTACATGTAATACAGGAGGTGCTGGCTTGTTGAACTTAGACTTGAAGATTTGCCATTTCATCTTGAAGGTTCTGTCCTTAGTGGGGAGGACATACAATTGTTGGACAGCGTATGAGGGGGTCCCAAAAACATTTTAAAGAAGTTTTCATCTCTTTTTTATGTCTTTGCATTTTCTCTTATACTATTTCCATTTCATTTATACTCCAGCATGTGTATGTCATCATTGACTAGAAAATTTAAACACTTCATTCTCTATTAGTGTACTTCCTCACATAATTATATTATTTCAATTTGGCTTGGTTTATAATATTTCTGATCCCTGTTGGCTATCAGTAGTTGTTGAATTTTCTGAAATTAATTTCAAAATTTCTTATCTTTTAACCAAATTTACTCATTGAGTTTACCTAAAATGAATATCAGATTGTGTTTATGATAACTTATATTTCAGAATCGCCATGATAATGAATGACGCAGTTGCCTACCTTTGAAGCTTGAATGCTGCTCTCTTTCATTGCCTCGAGTAGTAAATATATGCATGTGTTTTGAGGAAAATTATTGGTGACCATAGTTTTAACTCACTTGAAGCTTAGTCCTTGAATTTTGAATTGATCAGTACAACTCAATTCTTTTTAAGTCAATCTCTAAACTTGGACTCTTGCAATTTAAACCCTATAGTTTTATCTATTTAAATCTTGGTTCTCACATTTTATAAAGTTAAATTATAAAGAATAAAGTTATTATTAAATATTAGAGACTAATCTTTTAAATGGCTAAAATCATATACTGGGTTGTGCCAATTGAGTTAAAATACAAATATTATGCTACAATGAGTTAAAAGTATAAGGATCAAATAATTAATTTTTTCCATGTTTGAAAATTTCTTTCATTTTTGGGTTAAAAGTCATTTTGCCTTCAAACTATATTCTCAAGAGCACACAGTGTCTTGTACTCAATTTTGGTATAATCTTGCCCTTTAAATAAAAAATATTGGACCAATATTATCCCTACTATTAAATGGGAGCTATTCGCCGCCAAGTGTTATCACAAGCACACGGGTTGTCACAAGTATTAAAGTTTAATTTAAAAGTATTTCATTTTCCTGATGATTAGTACAAAAAAGAGTTAAAATTGATCATACAACTTTGGATTAAATTGAGCAAAATAAAAAATGAAGTTTGTGTATAATTATTTCATGATAAGTATCAATACTTTTCTTAAAAAAAGTTAAATCTCATTATCTACTGTAAAATCAATTGACACAGAGAGGGAGGGGAGGCCCACAATTAATTAGTTATTGAATAACATAAGTTATAATATACATATATATATATATATATATATTATAAGTTTATAATATTGTCAACCCCCCATCTCCAAATTCCTTTACAAAATTATTCTTCAAAAGCACCCAATACCCTAAATTATTTGGTGTAGTATTTTTGCCCTTAAGTAATTAAAACATAGTATTTTGACACTAATATTAAATAATAGATGTTGACTATTAACATGATGTGAGAGAAGGTAGTTTGACTATCTAACGGATGTTGGTGAGTTTTTAACATTAGAGGGGAGAATGTTATGTTTATTTACTTTAGGGTAAAAATGCTACGCATAATAGTTTAGGGTGTTAGGTGTTTTTTAAATAATACTTCAAAGGCAAAAATGCATTTTTATCTTTTATTTTTTTTTTTTTTAAAAAAAGGTAAAAGAGCAAATTGACTCGTAAACAATAGGTACATGAATATTTAAGATCCTAAACTTATTTTCCAGTGTAATGTTCTCTTCAAGTTTTAAAAATGGAGTAATCTAGTCATTACCATTAATAAAAGTTAACTTTGACCATTAGTTGAATAGAATATGACATCAAAAATTATAGAAAATGACCAATAAAAATCTGTTGATACTTTTCTATATTTTGGATCCTTTACTGTGATTTTTGTCCTTTTCTATAATTTTGAGACTTTTTATTATTATTTTCTGATCAATTAACAGTAGTCAAATTAATTTTTGTTAATGATAGGGCCAAATTGTACCGGTTTTAAACTAAAAGGAGAATATTGCATTAAAAATGAGTTTAAGATCTTAGACATTTTAGGACCTATAGTTCATGCACCAATTTGTTCTTTTACCCTAAAAAAGTAATGCATTTTAAAATTAAGGTAAAAAAGAAAAATTAGCCATTAAACTACAAGTCTAGAATATTTGGATTTTTAAACTCAATTTCTATACAGTGTTCTTTTTCAACTTTTGAAAACGGTATAACTTGACGAATGTCAATAACAAAAGTTAAATTTAACTGTTAGTTGATCAAAAAATAATAAAAAAAAACCTTAATAATTACATAAAAAGACTAAGAAAATTTCTTGTCGCTTTATAGTTTATGGCCAAAGCAATTTGTTTTTTCTTATGGTTGTTGTCTTTTATATATTAATATGTGTAGTGTTTTTTTCTTTTGCATTCCCGTTATTTGTCAAATCATTCACCGCCCTTTAGGCCCAAAAAAAAAAAAACAGAGAGCGAAAATCATTCACCGCTCTGATTTCACGTTCTTTTTCTCACTCTATTATCTCTCTTTATTCCTCACTTTTCCCCTCACATGAGCAAAGAATCTTCGTTTTTAGTTTGTTTTTTTTCTTATATATATATATATATCCCTCTCTGAAACTACCGTGACAAATTTGTCTATAACAGAGGAAGTAGCGGCAAATTACTTTTAAGGACATCTGTCAGTTGCTTAAATTCAAAAATTGCCTCAAACACTGTAACACTCATTTTACGATAGGACTCACCCTATATATAATCTTTGATCTTTCATTTAACAATCCCTCTCTCAAGCTACTGCGGAGAAATTTTCTGAAGTCGAAGTAGAGAGGAAGTAGCAGCAAAGATTGCTCTTTCTGATAGCGCTCAGCAAACGGCTATCTTTAAGGTACTTATAGGTAATATGCACATAAATAAGAAATATTATTGTCTTGATGCTTCCTTTTCTTAAGGTCTGAGTTAATTTCATGTGTTCTGTGTTGATATTTGCTTACGAGAATCTCTTATTTCTCTCCGTTCCGTTTACTTGTTCCTACTTCTGTTCTCGTTTGAACTTCTTTTCTTTGAAAAAAAAACACATGGAAGTACTATAAATTTACTTGTTCTTTCTTTCTTTTTATCCTTTTTGCCTTCTGGGGATTTCGGGAAAGCAAGAACAGAGAAGTAGTTATACTTTGACAAACATATTTGGTTGTAAAAAGAACTAGTTCAACAACCTAGCTGGAAGCCTCCCAAGTCAATTAAATGGAACCTGTTTCTGTGCACAATGACTACAGAATTTTCACAATCACAAGTATGGAACCTCATTTGTATAGAGCTGCAGCAGCTGGTGAAATAGATGTGGTCAGAGAAAAGAATGAACAAATTGGGTCCATCCCATGCTAACTCCAAATAAAAATACAACAGTCCTTCATATTTACTTGACAGTGACACGTAAGGGAGCTATAGGCATTTGTGAGAGAGATTTTAGATATGATATCACAGGTATACTTTTCAAATCAATTTATTAATTAAAATAAATAGTTCACTATATTAAGATCATAAATCTTGCTCAAAAAAAAAATATTAAGATCATAAATCAACAAATCAGTTACTAGAAAAATATTTTCGTGACAAATTTTTTAATTGGGTCTTTTTTTATGTAAGTATATATATAATATCTAAGTTTATTATGTCAGATTGAATATTTTTTGTTTGGCCCGATTTAAAATAGTTCTCTCAAAAATATTTTTTATATTCAGTTTGAATTCGAAATCTTATGTTTCAACACCTATGTGTTTAATTAAATTTAGTATCATAACAACTTCGCTGCTGTATTCAAGTCGTCTTCTCTCTTAATACCGCATTTGTTAGCTGCATGCATTCAATAATTTTTTAGAATATATTAATTGCATTAGCCACCTTTCTTCTTCTCATCCTGCTATGGACATCCACTACTTACTACACCTTTTATTTAACTTTCCCTTCTCTTGCTGAAATAATTACTACTGCAGCAAATTTTTCTGGGGAAGGCAAATTAATAGCAGTATCGAAGAGGTGTTCTTTCATAGCGCTCGGCAAACGGCTATCTTTAAGGTTCTTTTACATCAAATAAGAAACAACATACTTGTTTAATATATGCCCTGTTTCTCTTCATTCGTATCCACTTACTTTTGCGAGATTTGAGTTAGTTACCTATCTTGTTATGCTGATTTGCTTAGAATAATAATGCCATGTATCTCTGTTGGCTTACTTACTCTTACTTTTATTTTCATTGGAACTTCTTTTACATATTCAAAAAAACAGGTGAAATTAAATGTTAAAAAAAAAATCGTTGGATACAAGTTGTAAAAGCTGTGAGTCTGTGACTGCTCTGGTAGTGACATTAAAAACATTTTTTGGTTTTGGAAGTTGTTGGGAGAGTGGGGGAAAAATTATTAATGATGTGTTTCGATTTTTGATTGAGGATAAATCTCATTTTAATATATATATATATATATATACATATATGGATTTAAAATTCTTTATAATTCTAAATTTTTTATATATTCTAGTTATTTAAAACTTAAGCCATTCTTTTTTTTTTTTTGTATTTTTATTGTTGTTGTTTCTGGTCATTCTTGTCTTCTTTCATCTCTCATTCTTATCCTCATCTCTCGTCGATTGAAGAATAAAATAAAATCATCACTCTCAATATTCTGTGTTCGCTTCAAATCTCAACTCATCAATTTTTTCTCAATCTCGCAATAAAATCAACATTCTCAATTTTTTATACTATTCAAACAAAATATTTTTAAATACATGAATTTTGAAGATAAAATTTTTAAGTACAATTTAAATTTATTAATTCAAACGCAACTTTAAAATCCTATGCAACAAATAGAACTTATTGTACATGTTAAACCCACCGTATGTCTCTAAGGAGAAGTTAATGAATCAACCCGTGAATATATTGGTCATGGGTTTAACGACTTTGAGGAAAAGCTTAAAAGAAAAAAAAAAAAAAAAAAGCTAGTAACCTTTACTGGTTTGTTATTGAAAACCAAAAATATATCTTCAATTTTTTAATTAGTCTCTTATTGTAATTAATAGTATTTAGATATTCATTTACTAATTTTTAAACATCAAGTATATGTGTTTTTGGATTTAATTTATTAAAATTTCATTTATAAATCTTCAATTGATTCTAAAACTAATTTTTGTAATTAATTTTAGATGCTAATTTACACCTAACTAATAAAATTCCTAAATTATATTATGATTTTTATGATTAAATGTATTCATTTACTAAAAAAAAAAATTTAAGAGTTTTCTTTTCTTTCATTATTTTTTTTTTGAAAATATTTGCTTAATGTTTTGGCAGCTTGGGACCAAAAATGAAGTAATTTTTCAGTTCAAGAAGACATAAATAAAAATTTGATTATTTAAATAAATGCGTTATATCTTCAATTTTTTAATTAGTCTCTTATTTATTAATAGTATTTAGATATTCATTTACTAATTTTTAAACATCAAGTATATGTGTGTTTTGGATTTAATTTATTAAATATTCATTTATAAATCTTCAATTGATTCTAAAAAATAATTTTTTGTAATTAAATAAATTTTAGATGCTAATTTACACCTAACTAATAAAATTCCTAAATTATATTATTATTTTTATGATTACATGTATTTTCATTTACTAAAAAAAAGAATTTAAGACTTTTCTTTTCTTCTTTGATAAAAAAGAGTTTTCTTTTCTTTCATTAATTTTTTTTTTGCAAATATTTGCTTACTGTTTATCGCAACTTGGGACCAAAAATGAAGTAATTTTTCAGTTCAAGAAGACATAAATAAAAATTTTATTATTTAAATAAATGCGTTATAAATGTTTGCCACAAAAAAAGTATGTTTACAAATTTTAAATTTAAATTATTTATATAATCTCTCAAACTTACATTTTTTATGTTATGTGATAAAAAATGTGTTTGAAATATCTTTTAAATGATTTAAAAGAAACCTAATAAAAGTGTTTCAATAAATTTGAAAAAAAAAATGAAAAATTTATAATATAATAAAATTTAATAAATTTTATAACATAACAAGAGTTGGAAAAATATACTTATGGGTCCTTACAGTTTTCTTTAATTTTAAATTAAGTCTCTATTATCTATTTTATTTTAATCAAGTCATATATTATAATTACAAAACAAAAATATTCTTGGCGTTTTTTTATAAAATTTAATTTAATTTTTTTATTCAAAATTGAAAAAGAAAACTTCATTTAATCCACTGTTTATATTTTTATTATAATTTTTTAATAAAATTCTGCTGCATTTATAAAAATATTTTAAGACAATTAAAGACAATTTGAATTATAAAAATTACATAATTAATTTTAAAGTCATATAATCACTTCATAAAAATAAAAGTTTTTAATCTTGTTTTTTAAAGAAAAAATGTATGGATTTCAACCATTAAAAAATTTAATTTATTAAACTTTAAGTGTGCAATTAAAATAAAATAAAATGTAAATATTTTTCCATAAAAGTTTGAAAATGTATGTGTTATATTGTTTTTGTTTATAATAATATTTTTTTAATTTAAATGTTTAGGCAATGTTAAATTTAAAATGAAATATCAAGCATAGGAAGGTTTATGCAACGTACAATTAATTTTAAAGGAGATTTATATAAATTTTTAAAATAAAAGGGAATTTATTAATTTAAAGATGGGGGTGGGTAGTATATTTTACTCTAATAAATCAACCCGTGCATAGTTCATCGTTTTAAACAACTCCAACCACTTTGCTTTAAAAAATCAAAAAAATAAAAGGCCAGTAATTACCTATACAGTTTGGTCAAGTTAATGAAATTTTAATCAAAAATTATTTAATTTTCAAAATTTTAATTGGTCTCTTATTTATTAATAGAATTTGGATATTAATTTATCAATTTTTAAACATCAAGTATATGATTTTGGATTAAATCTATTAAAATGTTCTCATGCATCGGCCCTAATTGCAAAAGACAAAAAACACCTTAAATGACTAGATCCAGAGAGCAATGGATTTAACAGGGAAAATATATTAAAAATTTTAAAGTATGTTGTAGATTTGGCAAAATTAAACGGTCCAGTCATTTAATTTTCCAAACAATTAACTTTCTTAATATTTGTCAATTTGCATATATTCAATAATTGTGCTAGAGACAAGACAACTTTCAAGTTTCAACCACTGCTTTTATTTATTTATTTATTTTTACATATTTTAGCTTCACTTTTACTTTTCACGTGATATCCATCAGGTCCAGTTCTCCAATCAAATCTTGATATATATGTGATTTTTTTAATTAGTGATGATTAATTTTACAAAGTTTTGAAATTTTATTCGTGTGATTTTTTTATTATTAAAAAACTCGTGCAAAAATTTGGTTAAAGAGGACTACCACTTTCTGTTATTCATTTTCTGCTATAATCAGAAGAACATATGAAAACTACATTATCAACGGCAAAGTATGGCTGTTCTGGTAGTGACAATTGAAATTCAGATGTTGACTTAGTTTCGCATAGCTAGAAGAAACTCAACTTCATTTTTCCAAGTTCTAGTTTTTCTTTTCTCTTTTTTGTTTGTTTGTTTGTTTTTTTTTTTTTTTTGCATTCTAAATTCTGTTTTCTCTGATTTTCAGCATGCCAGAAACATCCCAAGTGATCACTTCAATCGAACATGTCTCTATGCATATCACATGCATGGAACTTCAATTCTATAGAGGTGCCGTAGCCGGTGAAATTGATGTGTTCAGGGATAAGGATGACCAAATTGAGTCTATTCTAACTCCAAATAAAAACACAATCCTTCATGTTCACTTGATGACATGTCATGAGGCATCGGAGGAATTTGTGGATGGGATTCTAAATATGTACCGTGCACTTCTGACGAAGGCTAATGCCAAGGATGAAACCATCCTTCATATAGCAGCCAGGTATGGACATATTGAAATAGTGAAAAAAATTATTGAACATGTTAATGAAGCTACCCCTAGTGAAAATGAAATTAAGAAAACACTTATAAGGGCTACAAATGATAAGAAGGACACAGCCCTACATGAAGCAGTACGTTATAATCATAAAGAAGTAGTGAAGTTGTTGATAGAAGAAGACCCAGATCACCCATATTTTAAAAATAATGATGGGGAGACTTCACTTTATATTGCTGTTGAGAGATGTTACTGTGAAGTAATACATACAATATTGGAGAAAAGCAATTCACCAAATCATGAAGGCCCCAATGGTAGAACAGCATTACATGCAGCTATTGTTCATTTGATGAAGCGGGAAGATCTAGGTATATATACATTATATGCTTTCTTTTTACACTTTATCATTTATAATGATTAAATTTTTATTTGATTTGTATATAAAAATGTCTTCTTTATCAGGTATATTAAGTGACAATGTTAGTATCAATGATTTGGGAATGCATATAAAAATGTCATTTTTATAAAAAAAAATTAGGGATATTATAATTTTTAATTTCTCAAGTTTGTCAATTATCAATTTAGTTCTTATTTAATTTTTATCAATTTAGTCTCTTATATTTTTTTAAATATTTATCATATGAGTTCTTTATGTTTTAAAATATGAATTGACTCTTAAAATAATCTAATGTATAAAGTATATATTACTAATGGCTTGGCACATATATGTGTGTGCAACTAAATGAGAACAAATTAGCCCTCGAATTAATCTAATTTAATGGCTTGTTTTGAAAATTTTGGAGTCTATTTTTTCCCTACCTAAATAATTATATTTCTTTCCATTGATTTCCAAAAATTCTATTAATATTCTGTTATTCATATTAGCAAATTTTAATGGTGAAACTCCTTTTTAAATAGTAACAATCAAATTAATAATTAAAATAAATTTAAGAGACTAAAGTAATAAAAAATTAAACTGGGATAATTGAGACAAAATTGAGAGGCTTAAAAGTTGTATTATCCTAAAAAAAAATTAATAATATGTACATGTCTTGTTTTTTTAAATAATTTAAATGGAATGTTGTGGTCATTTTTTTAATACAAATTTTAATATTTTAATTGACACAAAATTTTTATTAATATTCTGTTATTCATGTTAGCAAATTTTAATGGTGAAACTCCTTTTTAAATAGTAACAATCAAATTAATAATCAAAATAAATTTAAGAGACTAAAGTAATAAAAAATTAAACTGGAGAGATCAAATGGATAATTGAGACAAAATTGAGAGGCTTAAAAGTTGTATTATCCTAAAAATAATTAATAATATGTACATGTCATGTTTTTTTTTGAAATAATTTAAATGGAATGTTGTGGTCATTTTTTTTTGTTACATTTTTCAAAAAAAAATGAAGTATGAGAGGCATGTTTTGAATAAGCAACTGCAATTGAAAGATATTTAATTTGATTTAAAAAAAAAATAGAAGTTAATAAAGGTCAGAATTGGTGTTATAGGAACATTGGAGAAGTTGCTGCAAAAAATACCGTCAGCGGTGAAAGACGCAGATGAAAATGGATGGGTGCCACTTCACTTAGCAGCATTAGATAAACGGGATGGCAATGAATTGGTAGAGGTTTTGCTAAGGCATGATAGAAACACAGCATACATGAGAGACAATAAGGGAAGGACGGCTCTTCACTTTGCTGCACATTGTGGAAATGTTGTAGCCATGAGAAAGATAATAGAATATTGTCCAGATTGTTCAGAGTTGGTGGATCACAAGGGCCGCAATGCTCTTCATTATACTACAAGTCTTGAGAGAGGCCAACTCCCATTCATTGGAAGATTAAGAGCTGCAGAAGTGTTTATGGACAGACAACAACTAAGAAACATGCACAATGAGAAAGACAATGATGGCAACACGCCCCTTCATCTCCTTGCCCATTATGCTTCCACATGGAAAGAATATCATTTTCATCATCTTCTGAAAGAAAATACAAAAGTGGACACGACGGCATTCAATAAAAACAACCAAACTGCTCTTGATGTTGCTTATGATAATGTGCCTTCAACTTCACAATATGAGGTAACAAGCAATGAAAACATGTAGCTACTTACTAAAAATAATTAAATACAATATATAATTCATTGATTAAACAATATATTAGTAAATGCTGCTCATTATTGAATAACTAACAGGCGATTCTCTTTTTCAAAATGAAAATGACAAATACCTGTTACATGTTGTAGAATATTTTCTTGGGAGTACTTCAACACCAATTTAAAGCAAGGTTTGGTGGGAGAGTCATAAATGAGAATGTTAAAAAGAAGAAACAACAGAAGAGATATCATCCAGCAGTGATAGAAAAGCAGGAACAGGAGAACGAGGAACAAGAGGGAGATGATGAGTCAAAAATTCAAGGCAGAGAGAGACAAACCTTGCTTGTGGTGGCCACACTGATAGCAACAGTAACATTTGCAGCAGGATTTACGGTGCCTGGGGGTACCATACAAGATGGTAAAAACAAGGGCTCTCCCATGTTAATGCATAATGCAGCTTTTAAGGCATTTGTGATCACAGATTCTCTCTCCTTTGCTCTCTCTATTTCTGTTCTCTTTGTCCCAATTTTCTCATCATTTGCAGGGAGAAATAATTGTTTCTCTGTTTCAAGTAGAAGTTCGTTCCTAGTAGCCTTACTTTTGACGATGTACGGAATGGTATTCATGGCAGTGGCATTTGCGACGGCCACATATGCTGTCTTGGCTCCTTCCAAAGGCCTTGCTATTGCCACTCTTCTTATTGCATTGTATTTCTGCTTCGGCGTTTTCTCTTATTTGTTTTGCAGGATAAGAGTGTCACGTTACAAATGGTGTACGAAACTGGTCAGTTTGAAAAGTCTCCTATTGTTGCAATGGAAGACATGCAATTGTTAGATAGTGTATGAGATCCCAAAACATATCAAATATTTTCAATTGCAATTCACATCTTTGCATTTTCGTAATTATTTTTTCTTCATCCATATCACATGATGTGTCCTGTGTCCAACCTGTGTATGTCGTCGTTGACTTGAAAATAAACACTTCATTCTTAATTATTGTACTTCCTCAAATAATTATTTTGTTACTTTTCCATATCTTTTTTTTAATTTTATACAATTTGTTTGGTCTTTAATTGCCAATCCCTTTTGTCCGATAGTTATTGAATTTTCTGGAATTTATTTTTAAATTTCTCATATTTTAATTCATTGAAATTTACAGAATGTTGAATAAATCCAAATATAACAATAATTGATGGCAAGAAAATGACATTAATGGACATTAGAGGCCGTGATTCACATTAACCCAAAAAATCGTATGGTAGGAGTTGAAAGTTTAGAAGATTTTCTTTTTCTTTTTAATTTCGGGTTTATACGATATCTATTACTTTTCCCACGGTTAATTTGCCTCCAACAATTAGAGGCATAAGATCAAACCAGAGCTTTATTTTTTATTTTTTTTAAATAAGCCGGGCACTCACAAAATAGTTTTGTACATACAAATTCAAATATATATAATTCTTAAGGGCTATATATAGAACAAGTTATTTTATTTAAAGACTAGGCCTTGCTAAAAATTCTTAAAAACAAATGCGTTATGATCATCAATCTAGTCTTTTTATTTTAACTAAACATACTTAACAATTTTTCGTTACTAGTCAATCACTTAGAATTAGAACCATCTTCAATACTAATCAGAACCCTCAAAAGTTGAGTTGTTTCTTGCTTTGATCTGAGTCCTCTTCACCTAATTTCTCTCCCATATGAAATACCTCTTTCTCATCAATATCAAGTGGTGATGCTGCTACTACTTTCACTTCAAGCAACTTCAAGCATGCCTTCATCCACACATGCAAAGCACTTCCCAGACTAACCCAAGATATGGCTTTATAAAATCTCAGAATCATAAGCATTCCCAGAAAATCCCTAACTCGAGAGCATCACAATCCTGTTTTAGAAGAACATACCCAACATTTCCAAAACTTGCATAAGTATCTCTTTCCCAGAAACTAGTGTGAGCAAAAGGTGTTTAAAAATGTAATTTTTCTCAAACTTTGACATAATTGGCCAATTCTCAGAAAGCCTCTTGATTTGCATCACCCTAAATCAACCCAGTTACATGGTTGAGGAGACAACTTTTGAGGAATTCAAGGTTGAAATCTAGGACTGAGTCAAAGTATTAGTCTATGGAGCTTCTGGTGATACGTTTTTTTTTGTAGTGTATTATGAGTCTGGTCTCACTCAATGCTGATAGAAATAACTACGTCTATCCTTCCTAATTCTTAACAAGATTTTGCTTTGACCCACACCATTCTCTGTCTCTCTCTGTTTTTATTTTTATTTTTGCCCACTCCCATACCCATTCAATGAATATCAAGCTGTATCATACTTTTTTTTTTTTTTTTTTAAGGGGATATCATGCTTCGTTTTGGATCCACACTAATTCATTGATGAATGGTGAAAAAAATCCATGGGAAGCACAATTTATGTGTGTTATCCTATTCTCTCTTTGCACTATGAAAATCAAATATGTGAGATAAGATTCTGCAGAAATTCTTCATGCATGTTACAGTGCTTCTTGTATATGGAAGGGTATCCTAAAAGCTAAATCTTAGGTTCTTGAGAACATAAGTTGGAAAATTGGAAATTGCAAACATATTCCCCTCAGCCACCCTTTATGGATGCTAAAATGCGAGCAAATTTGGAACCTCGATGTCCAGCAAATGATGCAGTAACCGCGCTTATGCTCTCTGTCTTTTTAGCAAAACTGCCCTTTTCTCGTCGCTCTCTCTTCATTGATATTCTTATTGGCTTCATTTGGACAGAGAGAAGAGAATGTTAGGTGAAAATTAAAAAATCTTAAAAAATTATAATTTTTTTATTATTTTTGGAGTTTTCCCTCAAAACATTCTTCCCCCACCCCCCCTAATTTCCTTCCTATCTGAAGGAGAATTAATTTTGGCAAGAAAGGATCCAAATCCCAATTCTCCACCAAAGTGATGTTCAAACAAACTATATCTCTTCTTGGTAATAACTGTTGGTAGAAGAGTGTAATGAATGGGGCAGTGAACAACTGCAAAAGGGAAGAAGATAAATAGGCAAGAACAATAAATGGACACCCATCTTAATTTAAAACCTTAAGTCTTTAGTTTTGAGTCTTTCTTTTTTATTATATATTAGTTATTAAGCTCAACTTTATTTGAGGTGAGATTTCCCACACATCAACTTAAAGTCCACCTAAATTTGGACAACATAACAATTTTCACCTCAAGTGTGAGTAACAAGTTTTTCATATTAAAGATATTCTAAACACTAAGTCTCTACTCATATAAATTTTATCTAATGTGGTCCCACATTGTCAAGTCACTCACCACATCCTAACACAATATAATCTCATTTTATCATTGTTTGTCAGGTTTTATTCTTTTTCTAATGTAGAAAGCTTTCATTTTAAATATAATCTTCCATTTTATTGTATGTTTGCTAAAAAAATAACTTCTGTACGTTATTGAACTATTTATTTATTTGTACACTTAATCATCTAATTTTAATTATTTTTTATCAAAGCATAACTTTTACTTTAGATTCTAGATGTTATCTTGCAAATATTTTTCCTAGAATTGATCATTATCATATATTTTATTAAATTATTACCGAAATATATTTGTAACACCCTCAAATTTACAAACCGATTTTTCGCAAATTATTAATTCAACAAATCATTTTTTTTTTCATTGAACCCTTATCATTCCCTTATCATGGTAGAAAAATTTCTACCATGATACATCCAAGACAATATACCACAGGTCTTAAAATATCTAAAAAAAAGCAATTAGAACTATGAGGGACAGACAGGATTCTCATGGCATGATATTTAAATCAGGTCATGAATCAAGAGGGACAAACATAATCCTCTTGGTCATATAAATACATTTAATAAAAAGGATTAGAGTTTACATGTTGTCAAAATAAGAAATGTCCTAGGTTGGCACAAGATACATTGCATAATACAAAATGAGAGGCAACGTAAAAGATGGTGTCTCATACACCAAAGTTACGCCTCTGGTGCTTTCTTGGCCGGACTCGCTCCTGTAAAATTGTTAACCACGGGGAATGAGACTTAAAAGTCCCAGTAACAAAAATTAATATGTCATGATGCATGCGGATGTAACTAATCATGCGATTGCTAAGTGGGCACACAAAAATTTAACCGAACAATATTTCCAAACAAACCGAACAAGTATTTAATTGCATGACTACACCTTATATCCTCCTTTCGCCATGCTCGGACGCCAAATCACCCAGCCAAAGGTGAGTTGGACCAAGCGACACGCCACTCATTGGGTCCAATGAGGGCTTACCACGTGGTAATAATTAACCGAACAGAAATTCCCATTAACACCATACATTAAAATACCCTGACAAGTCATGCATCATTCAAATATCCAAACAGGAATATATCCGAACAATAATATCTCATCATGATAAACAAAAATAAATTTTTGACCCACTTGGCAATAATTTCAAACAAGTATATAACAGTATTTATTTTCAATAATTCATAATTTTTCCAAACAACAAGACAACACATAACCATTCACAAACACACCCATCACAACACATTAATAATGGTTACCTTGTGTCTTGAATAACAAGTTCCCCTTCCACAACTCCTTTTTCACCACTATCTTTGTCAATATAATCTACATAATTATTTCACAATACTATATATTAATTTTACATTAAAATAAATAACTCTAATTTAAAGAGTTAGAAAGTCTTAGATCTATAGTCCATATTAACACTAATTTAAGATTTATGCCTCATTTAACTTCCCAAATTCTTTTCTAAAATTCTCGTACCCTAATGAACTATTTTTTTTATCCTCAATTCACTTCTAGTATCACAATTTCATCCTTCTATATTCTAAAAATTCATCCAAAAATAAATTAAAAATTTTAGAATTATCCTGAAGCCTCAAATCACCTTTTATAACCTCAAAAATACCTATTCATACTTAAATAAATATTTAATAATCATAGGTTTATCCCTACGTCTCAGATTCCACATAAATTCAACCATATAGATCTAGATTTTAACTCAAAAATTCTTAAACATGAGTTTCAACCTTAAGAAAATATTCTATAATATTTTTTATATCCCTAAGAATTTTAACCTATATTTTTAATCCATCATATCATCAGATTAACTATCCTATAGAAAAATCCTAATCAAAATATTTACTCTATCCTACAAAATAATCATATCACTAGAAAGCTAATATTATTTAGAAAATAACTATAAAATTAATTTTGTAATTAAATAAATTTTTAAATGCTAATCTAAACAGGAAAGTTAGAACATACCTGAAGAAAAAGAAAATAATCCCCCCTTGCGAGAAAACGCCGAGCAACGTGAGAGGAAGAGAGAAAAATAATATAAAAATGGGATTGTGAGTCCCAAAATTATATAAAAAAAAACTATAGGTTTGAATTTAATTATTCAAACCTTTGGGCCAAAAGTTGCAATTTTCTCTAAATTGCATCTTAGCCTCTCATGCTTCCTAATGCACACACCCCCTCCTTTTTATACATGAAGGCACCTCTTCTCTTCCCTCATCTAACCAATGTGGGACTTAGAAACAACAACCTTCCACCCCTTTTTTTTGTTCCTTCTACCTTCTCTTTTTTTTTTCAACACATACATAAAAAAAATTATTTATGTATTATATCTTAACTAAATATTGCTTATGTGGTTTTAAATTTAAATTTTTAAATTCATAATTAAATACCTAACCATAAAATTATTTCTAAATAACCTCAAATAATATAAATTCCTATTATTATCATTTTTTTTCTCAAAACCTAAATTCCACAATTTCTTTATTATATAAAAAAATCAGGATGTTACAATTCTCCCCTCCTTTTAGAAATTTTGTCCTCAAAATTTAATAGATAAGCATAGAAACTATGTACCTAAGCAAATAAATGTGGATAA